ATGGAGGATCTCTCCTATGAAGGCACACTTAGAGTTGGGTTGTTCAGACTGGAGAAGAGAAGGCTTCAGGGAGACCTTATAGCAGCCTTCCAATACTTAAAAGTGTTCTGTAAGAAAGTACCATTATTACCCTTTATTCACAATTGTGATTGAAGATTCATTATAGAAATTCCTTCTAGTACCTGAAAGAAGCCTTCAAGAAAGACAGAGACACACTTTTTAGCAGGACCTGTTGCAATAGGACAAGGGGTAATGGCTTTAAACTAGAAGAGGGTCAATTTAGATATAAAGAGGAAGTTTTTTTACTATGAGGGAGGTGAAACATTGGAACAGGTTGCCCAGGGAGGTGGTGGATTCCCAGTCCTTGGAAACACTCAAGGTCAGGTTAGACAGGGCTCTGAGCAACTTGATCGAGCTGAAGATGTCCCTGCTCATTACAGGGGAGTTGGACTAGAGGAACTTTAAAGGTCTTTTCCAACCCAAACTATTCTGTGATTCTATGTACTAGTTAGACAGACTTGTATGTCTGCATACTATTAATATAACAGGATAATATGTAATTTTTTTCCCCAAAATGCATTCGGATGACCTGGATTGTGTAAGAAATTGTAAAAATTATTACAGGTATTTACTTTATTGTATCTCCAGTACTTTCCCTGGATTTTAGTAAGTACATATTAATTAGTTTTACTTGATATAATTTTTTGTTGTGTTTTTCACAAAGCTCTATTTGCAGTTTCCTCTTCTGGCCTCAACTGTTTGATCCTTTCAGTGTTATATGGCTAGTAATTGATCAATTACTTTTAAAATAATAAAAAATATTGATACAGAATATTATGTAAGAATACATACATTTCGTGGAATATTATTCAGAGGAAAAAAAGACAATTACTATATAATTTATTTATATCTAGCAATGAAGTGTAATATACTTGAATGTGACAATATTGAAATTTTAAACCTCTGCCAAAAAGATATTAAAATAAATGATGACCCAAAAAAGGGGAAGAAGAAGGGAAGTGAGTATAAGCTTAAAGCTGCAAAATCTGATGTATGACAAGGCCTTTGAAAATTTAAGATAAAATTCAGAAGACAGACAGCTTTAGAATGTAATATTGATTTTTTAAATTAATTTTTGAAATTCTGATTTTTATCAGCAAAAAAATAGATGGACCAGATCTTCAATATGAACAATACTATCAAATATTGCAGATGAATTTTCATCATATTGTGAGCAAAAATGTTGACTGCTAAGTGATAAGTTTTAAATATTCATAAAACAATACAGATGGCTCATGTTCTATCTTTGTTTAAAAGTCTAAAAAGTTGATTTCATGAACCACTACAAGTTCTCCAGAATTTTCATTTCACTTTTCATTCCCCTGGTATTTCCTTGGCGTGCTTTGCATTTTCTTTCCTACAGGACACAGAGATTTACAGCATCTAACACTTTTAGTTAAATACATTCACAGCACGTCTACGGCTGTGCTTGCACATTGTGATCTGTCCTATGGGAAGACCCCAAGACCAGCCCTAACTTTGTGTAGACATTATTATAGAGTTTTTCTGGCCAGAAGAAAAGATCAGCTCAGCCACCATGGTGCCCACATCTATGGGGTTTGTTTTTTTTGGGGGGTTTTGTGGTTTTCTGCAATTTACTATTTTTGTTTTGTTTCAGTTCACTAGCTCACTAGCATTTCCTGATCTAAATCAGTTCAATTTAAATAGCTTAGCTCATGAGTAACTCATAATTAAATAGAGCTTTACACTTCATCGTAATCCAATGAACTCGGAACAAGAGGATATTTTGCACCTTAATTTTTTCTAACACATTGGAAGTCATATTATGAAGAATAAATTTTATTGAGCTTAAGACTGTCTTCCAGTATGGACACTGGTATTATTCTGTATATTTGGCATTTACAGAAAGAAAGAATATCAAAAAGCATTCTTGTGCTTCCAAAATATTCACTGAGCTCCAACAATGCAGAACAGTATCTGTATGTGTTTAAATGAGTCACGTCTCAAAATGCTAACTGTTGTACATAATTACTCTTTTGAAAGAGAGGAAAATCACATTATTGAATATATTAGTAGAATGTGATCAGAAATTACATTTATGTACTTTATGGGTTTATTTGAGGAGGAAAACACAAATTGGGTCAAGGACACGTGCTTCTCCATTTGGTTCTTTGAAAACTAATGTTAAAAATATATATCAGGTTTTCTACTAGAACAAGCCTGTTGGGCACCCACATACACCATCACATCCTAACCCACACCCACAGAGACAGAGAACTCAACCGCAGCTACAGGATTCGGTTAGGGTTAGGATTAGGATTCAGAGGGTCACAGAGCCTGTTACCCCCAGAGGGCCACTGGAGCTGGAATACTGCAAAAGGGATCATGGAAGAACACCAACATTGCTGCACTCACATCTCTTTCTAATCACATGGTGATAAGGGAACTTGTGCACAGTGTCCAGACTTATTTATGGTTAGGGATATGGTTCCAACTGCCAGAAAGCCCACAGTCCCAGGGACACTGGGGTAGAAAATGCATGCTTAGTGTGTTATTTCAGGGCACCAATACTGCTGCCTCCTTACCTTTCAAATCTGAGACACCCATGGAGATTAGGAAATCAACTGCAGCACCACAGTCACATTAGGGTCAGGGTTAGGGTTCAGAGAGCCACAGAGCTTACAGCTCCAGGGACACTGGTACTAGAAAAGGCATGCCAAAAGGATCGTGGCAGGGTGCCAACATGACTGCATCAACATTTTTCTAATCTAGGCCACCCATGGTGATGGGGGCCTCAGGTGCAGCACTAATATTCTATTCTGCTTAAGGTTAGGGTTCTGAGAACCACAGAACCTGTAATCACATGGCATCATCAGCTCCAAGTCCACCCAAGCACTTCAAACTTTTGTCCTTGGATTCTGTACCTCATTAGGCCAGTCCAGTGTTATTCCAACAGTTTGCCACTGCTTCGTATTTACATATGTGAAAAGGGACTCTCTTTTTCCAGAAAAGACCTGGAAAACCCATAATCACATTCAAATAGGTCTTGTCCACTCAGTTTTTACTTCCCATCATACCCTTGTCAGCATAAGTGAGCAAGTTAAACCATAGTTGATTACTAAGTATCATACTTAGCCGTTTTCCAAATTGACTTCATGAATATCAGCACATTCATCTATTTACCTAATCTATCAAATTAAGTAATTAGGACATGATGCATTCAAAATAGCCCAATCAATGGAGTCAAAAAAAAGGACATGCTCTTTCAGTGTCTTTCTTCAACTGCTGAAAGTAGAAAAGTCTATGTTGAGAAGAATGGCTGCTCTCTGTTTACTAATTGATATGCCTGGGTTTGGGCCAAATGCACACTGAAATGCAATTATTGGTCTTTTTCCCAAAGTCACCTGAAGTTAAACATGCTTTTTACCACACACCTAAAAGGCAAAAGTTATTTCCAGTGCCTCACTGCCCAGTTTACCTGGGAGTGAAAAAGTTTCATGCTGATGAAACTCCTTATGCATTCTTGACTGGCATGTATATGTCTACATATGCAAATTGGAACAAAAGACAGGAAAAGGATAACTGGAGAACCACATTCAGCCTACTGCAATTACAATTAAAAAAGGGGTAGAGGGTTACTCCAAACGGGTCAACAGAATATTGAATTTGTATGCTACCACATGCCACAGCCACAGAAAACTTCACATTTCTTGGGTGATCTACCCAAGTTTTGAGTCTCAGTCTTTTTGTATACACAGCATCTTAAATTACAGGGAGAATCCTTGATTAATTCTGATTTTCTGTGTGTTAATTCTAAAGCCTACATTAGGAATCTCTTCAAAGTAACAACTTCCAAGCAGCAGTGACAGGTTCAGATTTACACAGAAATGTCTCAATCCTGTAACTGATATCCCTAAATAATGGTATGTACCAAGTTTGGTTGAGCCTTAGGTGTTGCTAAAATTGGAGAAATAGAGAACAAAGAGAATCATCTCAAGATCAATCCATCTTCCATTCTGATCAGTGTGCAGATAGGAGGCATTAGAGTGAGAAGAAGGTAGCCTGAAAAAAGACCCAAGTGGTTTCTCTCCCACTCTTTTTCTTTTTTGAGAAGTATATGAAATCTTCAATCATAGCAACTGGAGGAAGATTATTTTAAAGAAACTAGTGTTGCACTAGTCTTATATTACCAATTTATTTACCATATTGCCATTAATTATCATAACACTGGTCTCCTCTGCAGCCATGTGATTAAACAGAATCAGTTAAAACCTGAACCTTTAGTTATTTAACAGTAAGAATCAGTGTCTTTTGTGAAATAATTAAAACAATCAAAAACTGAGCAACTGATTGTCTCCAAGATGTGAAGACCTAATTGAATAAAAATATGCTGTTCTTAAAACATTTGTCTGATCCTGTTTAGCTTATCTCAGCAGTTCATTGGTGATCTGTTTAGTTATTAAGGTCACATATCAAAATCATATAAATGTTTCCCTTTCCAGATTTCTAAGGCAAGACTGACTAACATTTCTACAGTAATATAATTTTTCATTGAGCTAATCAGAACTTTAAACCATCCACAGCTAATTTAATAGTAAGAGCCAAAACTTCAAATAAAATATAAACATTAATCAATTTATGGTAATAAAGACTTACCAGTAAATTGGCAGTTAAGGGTTTTATTTAGTTTACTCTGTGATTATACTGTGTATATTCAGAGTATAGAGATATCAAATAAACCTCTGAATTCCTAATCATATGGATGAGAGTCCTTACATTAGGTTAACATATCAGCATTCAAAGCCAACCACAAAATATCTCATTCTGATGTCTGAAGATCTTGAAACTCTATTTTTCCCATAGTGCAATTACAGAAAATCATAAATACTTAGAAAAAAGCAAGTACTAGGTTCGGTCTCCAAAAGGCACTTATGTACCTAATTTCAAACAAATTAAGCAGGTATCAGGTATTTACATACCTTTGTGGATCTAGGACTAAACTGCTTTCAATTTTATTCTGCCAATGAAATGAACAACAGCAGCGTGTTCTGGGCCCTGTAGCATAGTTGTAGCTATTGTCATAGGAGATGTTTCTGCCTGAAAGTATGTGCTGAACTTTACCCATGGGATTGGTCTTGTAGAGAGAGAAAAAAAAGTAAGACCAGAAGATAATTATTTAACCATCTGATGTGACTGGAAGAATGATGAGAAGGGAGTGGGACAGCTGCAAGTGCCTCCACTTTCTTTATTACTCTCAGCACCCACAGGGAACCTGATGTGCTTGGCTCCAGCAGCCATGCCTTGGTCCTTCCTGTTTTGCTGCCTCACCTTCCTACTCAGCAACATGCCAAGCCCTGTAGGAAAGCTGTTAAGGGAAAACCAGAAAGAAACAGCTGTTTTGCGGGGTGGCTGAAAAGATACAACTGCTTCTACAAGAGCCAAGGCGTTCCTGTGGAAGGGGGATATGTGCCTGCCACCACTGCCAATTGAGGAGCATCTGTTCATGTTGAAAGGCATGCTCTACTCTGGGCAAGGGACCCAGTCCCTCATCCCAGCCGCTACATCCTTGCTGAAGTATTACAGACTGTCACAGGAAGAAGAAATTAAAATGGTGTTACCATTCAGGCATACATCTGTGGTGAATTGAACAAAGAATGAACTTTCAGTTAGAAAGATATGGAGAGCTGTTGAAGACTGGAACATAACAAACCAAATTTTCATTAACACAATAGAGCACAGACTTGAAAGTGCTGACTGTGCTTGTCTAACATTTTATGCACAGTATTCAACTGGAACAAGACAGCATCATGTTGCTGCACCTTCATTTAGAGGTCCTAGCTTCAGAGGGATTTTATGACTGTGATCCCACTCACCTACCTACATTGGTAATTGGGTGCATTTTTTACTAAAATCATCTGCTTTGATAAATAAAATAAGAGAGATTAAATTAGATTTCAGAAGCTTGGGGTTATAAAGACATCAACTATCACATATTCCTTTTGCTCCATTCTGACCTGATGAATTCCCTTGGGACCTCATTTTTTTCGAACACTTAAACGACAAGGAAAAAAAATCTATCCTCACCATCGATAAAGGGAAGTAATGGTGACAAATTAGCCAACACAGAAAGTACAAGACTCTTTCAGAGAATTGTTCTATTTTATGCCTTTTTCTAGCACAAGCTATTATGTTCCAATCTACAACTCCATTGAAGGCTATTATAAAAAACACCCTCATGCAACTCATCATACTGTAACAACTTCAGTGCCTTAGATATCCTGTTCCTAAAGATTCTGTTGTTGGATTGCTCTCTGCATGAACTGTGAAAATACACATAAGAGTTATCAGCATTTCATACTACTAACCTTGAGGGTGTTCATACTACTAACCTTGAGGGTATCCCTTGAATTGAAAAAAATGAGGCAGCTACATTTAACTTTACTTCTGGAATTGCATTTTATGAGTGTTCTGTTCATTAAAACAAACAAACAAATAATAATAATAAAAAATCAACTTTCTGAATTCAGTAGTCCATCCTATTACTGCAGAAATGTGATAGCTCTGTAATTCACCCTTGCTGTTTATTTACAGTGATCTAATGAATTCAGACAAATATCTTGTCATTCTCAGGATTCTTCTCTCTAACAGGCTTGTTTCTGCAGTACTTCAACGTTTTAGCCCCAAGCCATATGCAGTATGTCATAGACAATAAAATTTTACCGATTCCTTTAGACAGGTAAGGTAGTATTGGCACACTACAGGGAGAAAAAGCTCTTTGGTAGGAAAAAAAGTTATTGTTATTGTTGAAAAATAGAAATTCAGGATGGATGCAGGAAGCAGGCCAGCATATAACTGTAGCAGCTTTAATATGTTACATAACCATTTGACAACCACATAAAACCTGAGCAAATTAGATTTCTAACATTTCTAAGCTCACTTACAGTTATTCACATTAATAATAGATTACACTTATTTAGCCTTTGATAATAAGCTTCATCCTCATTGGAAGCTATTATGACTTATAATTACAAACAGTAATGGTCTTGTTTTTAAAGCCTTTAAAATATTTTCTATTATAATTAATTTAAAACCATGTATGTATCTCAAATCATATTAACATCTATAACAAGACATATAATTTTAGTGATGTTTGTCAACCATATAGTGATGTCGGATTTACTCATATGAAAGTTGGTTTTCATTATCATCAACACTTACTTTAAGACATGCTTTCTTCAGTAATTCTACTACCTAATATTACTTTTTAATGCAGTTGAGCATTTGTTGTTGTGATTTTGTCCATTGCCAAGCCTTAATCATGTTTCTGACTAGAAGTATGAGGAACATTCAAGGTTGTATTAAATAATTATCTAAATTGTTCACAAAATCCATCATCCACATTTTCCATATGCAAATATCAGAGAATATTTCTTAAAATTTGTCAGGAGTACAGTAAAATATTCAACCACCTAAAGATGGCAATATAAAAACTTGTAGAAATATTAATGATACATTGTGAACTTCTGCAGACAGAGTATTAAGTGGACTATCATTTAAGTGGGCCTTAATTATCTGAGATCTTAGTTTTAGCTTATTTAAAACACATTTAAAAATAGGATCTGAGTCCTTTGTTTGTAAGTGTTTACAGAAGAGATTTTTTTTTTCTCAGGGAGAGACATCATGGATATGGATAAACTAATGTTATAACTCCTGAGAATACACACTGACCTTCTGCTAATAAGTGCAACAAAATTGTGTTTGTTTTAATGTTCTTTTGTGTTAATTATTACACATTATGAAACTGAGCCCAGGGAATGATTATTCAGGCATTTTTATCATTGACAGATGGATGTTAATGTGGATTATTTTTATACTGCCCAACTGTATTTCAATAACTTCAACTATATTTGCATTTTGAATATCTTTATTAAACAATTGTCTTTTTTCATTACCTTTTTTTTTTTAATTTTCCCTAACCACTAGTATTGCCATATTCTTAAGGAAACTCCAATATAAATAAGACATTGAAGATGCAAAAAAAATTGATGAAGCTAACCACTTTCAATGTATGCACCAGGTATAGGAACACAATTAACTTACACATATTTATCCACTGGCAAAGAATTGCGTTATTTTACCATCAACATATTCATACCCTGAAATGACAAAAAAGCCTTGGAGGTAAATCTTACAGATTTGTTCCTGCAAATATTTATTATGTTTAACTAGGAAGAATGGGATTAAAAGCCATTATAAGGTATATTGCTTTGATCACCACGGTTCTTATTACGGAGAAGTAGAATTTAGTTCTCTATATATCTTATTTGACTCTTTTGAAAGTATCATTCTCATTAAACTAAAGCCTTCTTACACTGGAGAAGGGGCTACAGCTCACTTAAAAGTAGCTAGACCAGGTATTTTCTATACAGCAACAGGAGCAAAGACTTCATTGTAGATCAGATATCTACAAATTAATGCAGCTGCTCTGGAAAATTTGGTAGCTCTTCATCTTTGAATTTTAATATAACCTTGCTGTTTGCTTTGTTAAGGTCACTCAACTCCCATGATGTTATTTTTCATTCTTCTTTTCTTGAAAAGGTTCAAGAAATAGCAAGAGTCATTATATTTTTCTGCTGTCAGATTGTGACACATTGAGTGTAATCCAGAATTATATCAACTGGAGCACTCTTTTGTGAAGAAATGTTAGAGGTGACTGCCATGTTAGGGGAGGGGAATGAAAGAACTCTGTTGTTTCATCTCGCAGATTGTCATCAAACACTTCTGTGTGGCTTGCTTCTGGTAGACCAGCAGATTTTAAATTTAGGTAAAACCAAGAAAATTATGAGACTTGGGCCCACCCACTAATTTTCACCAATATAGCCTGGATTCATAGGTGGCAAAGAAATTGAGCATTCTGCTGTTTTCCCAGGTGACTGGACACCTCTCCACAACTGAACCAGAGTTGTTCGGACCCACCTGGGAGCCCAGCATAGGCAATGTAAGTTATGCATTCTGGATCCTCTGCCAGAATCTTCCTCATTTTTCTTTTTGGTGCAGTTTTTAATAAGGGCAATAGAAGAATAAAGGATGGTGAAAGAGAAAGCAGTTCCATGCTGAACTTTTTCTTCAAGCAAAAGTGAACAAGAGTGAACATGCTACAGGAATGATTAATATCCAGAAGTCCTAGCTGTATCTTAATTCTGTTTCAACACAATCCTTTTGTTTGGACTGACTGGGCATGGCAAGCTGAGCCAAGTAATGCAGGTTTGAGGGACGTCTAAGATCAGCTTTCTCAGAGAAACACACTCCTTTATTCTCTCCTGGAATTGCTTCATGCATCTGTGTCTGTTCCCAAGCCTTGCTGAAGTGTGGTCATTTAGACAATCCACTGAAGAGAACAACAGTTTTCTTCTTTTAAGATAATGTTATAATTTGTGATTTTCTCAATTGTATTGTTGCACCTAAGGCTAGACATCTAATGAATTCTTATAAATAAAAGAAATTAATGAAATGAACTAAGAAGAACAAGTTTTAACTGTTTTGAAGGTTATAGATTTGGGAGGGTTTGTGATTTTTGCTTTTGTTTTGTTTTTCATTTGTTTGTTTTGTTTGCTTTGGTTGTTTTAATTGTAAATAATATCTATATCAAATTCATAAGTGCATTGAGATGGTAAACTTGATCAGTAAATCTTTTACACCAAAATTGCGTTTATACCACTACATTTTAAAGTCATTAGTTGGGAAAAGTTGGTGCAAATAAGGACTGGAATGGCCCAGTACATACCCTTAAACATAGGTTCAGATCCTAAAGATATACAGATATTTTTTCTCTTTCTAAAGGATTCTCTAAATGTTTCTAATTTCTAATAGAAACTCTGATAACTAAGTTATTATCACAAAATTAAGAATAAAAGTACTTAGATGTAAGTACTGAAATGGTTTCAATGCTGAATCAGAAATAAGTTATGAAGAACAATAACTCTGAACCAAGACCATCTTCTGAGTTAATCATTTGTGGGTGTCACACGTAACTAAAATCTGAACGTAGTCACCACCTTCTACAGGGCACAAATTTATGAGACCATATACT